TTTGTTATTACTTTTTATCGATCCAAATTTATTATATTTATTAAACAAATCATTGTTATAACAAAAATAATCATTTCTTGATTTACAGGAGAATCGGATTCATGCACTGATAAAAGATCTGAATATCAAATTACTGCCTTTGGTGGTCGACATTTTGTTGATTGGTAAGTATATTATATAATGTTTATATAAAAAAAATTTACATGTCGAAAATACATTAAATAAAATAAATATTATATACTATTATTTTAATCACAAATGTCATTGGAAAAGTTGTTAGTCGTACCATGCCAGAAGAACGCATGGTAAAATGTGCTCCCGAGAGGATGATGGAGGTTGTATTGCAAGACCATAGGTAGTCATAAACATAAATGTATCATATTTGATGTTAATTTTTTTAACAGCTTTATACTATTAAAAACTATATTCAATCTTTGTTCAGGGATATCCGTCTAGATTGTACGTTGTGGACTCATCATATTGATAAAGTGATCAAGGGACTCAATGAAGGATTGACAAATCCACCAATTCTTTGTTTGCAGATGGTGAAACCTAGGCGATATAATGGTATCATTATTATATATTCTTATTATTTCTTTTTATAAAATTCTTTCATGCCTAACGGTTGCGAAAATTAAAACTCAGGAAAAGTCTATGTTTCTACCTTTTATAATGTGAGTAAAGTTGCGCTTAATGAAGACTCAGACAAAGTTAAAGACTCCAAAAAAGAGTAAGTTAATATTTTATTATTTTAAAATTGGTTTCAATTTTATATAAAGAAAAGCATCCATCCATACTTTATTTAAAAAGACATGGAGTCAACATATGCTTTTCCCGCCCAAATAGTATGACAATTACAAATGGCAATTATGAAGTTAAAATGGTAAGTGACCAAAATTATAGTAATAATTATTTTAATTATTATATTTATAATAATTAAAGAAAGGTCAGTTAAAATCCATACTTTATTTAAAAAGACATGGAGTCAACATATGCTTTTCCCGCCCAAATAGTATGACAATTACAAATGGCAATTCTAAAGTTAAAATGGTAACTGGCTGAAATTATAGTAATAATTATTTTAATTATTATATTTATAATAATTAAAGAAAGGTCAGTTAAAATGGCCGAAATGTAAGTTAATAATTGTGAATTTATAATGGTAAGTGGCTGAAATTGTAAAGTAATAATTATTATATTTATAATAATTAACGTATTGAAAATTGGAAATAATTAAAAAAGGTAAGTTATAAAATTGCAAAGCGTAAGTTTTTAATAAAATATGGAATCAACGTATTATATGCTAATAATTAACGAACGTTATTATGAGTACTGATTGGAAACGTCCTAAATTTTTGCAAGAATAAAAAATTTTCATTTTTAACAATTTTTGTGTAAGTGTGAAGCTAATATAGCTATTTTTTCTAAAATAATTAACATGAGTAATATAAAATGGTAAGCGTTAAGTTAACCAATTGGAAATAATTAAAAAAGGTAAGTTATACAATTATACACCCAATTTCGCAAAAAAATAATTGGAAATAATAAAAAAGGTAAGTTATACAATTATACACCCAATTTCGTAAAAAACATAATTGGAAATAATTAAAAAAAGGTAAGTTATAAAAATTAATGTGAGTAATATAAATTGGAAATAATTAAAAAAGGTAAGTTATACAATTGCACACCCAATTTCGCAAAAAATAAATAAATAATTATGGTAAGAATAAATATACACCCAATTTCGAAAAAAATTAACCCTTCTATAAAGATAATATTCCCACAAATTGTACAAATTATGAAGTCTATAAAAAGTCTTTCGAAATTTGTAAAATAGTGATGTTTTTTACCTTAAAATAATATAATCTCTATATTCTATTGCATCTCATTTTTATCATTGAAAAATGATTTGAATTTAATAACATAAAAATGACACGTGCAACGCACGAGTGTGATAATAGTAAGACTAAAACATAATGACTTTCTCAATATAAGACCATAACTTTTTATTTCCCAATGTAAGACATTTGGTCATTATCTATTAGTCATTATTCAACTAAATGTCAAGCATCACTTGGATATTATTCTTCTCACTAGTCATTATTAAGTCCTATGTAGGAAATAAAAAATTTTAAGTCCTACATTGGGAAATGATTTATGTTTTAGTCCTATTCACTGCAAATTTCACTATATAAAGAACTTTTAGGAGTGGATCAAGTATATATTTTATGTAATTTTATATATTTAGTAATTTTTTATATACACACAGGTCGGTCCGAGTCTGATAGAAGTTATTGAGGAGGAGGACATGCTAATTGATGTACTCCATAACTAAATCAACAAGGGGCATGTAAGGTGTCATCACACGGGTGCTATCTTGAATGCCTACATGCTTTTCACAGACGATTATCCTCTATGTAATAGAGACGATAATTGTTTGTGTGTCTTTGAGAAGTGTAACGGCATCCGTGATAACAAAGTGACCTAGAAAGTCATCTGGCCTGGTCTTAGCCTTCCTTACCTCCTCAGGCGGCAGGCGCAAAGAAAGTTAAAACCCTAATGATATGGGTGACGCTGACTTGACAATACAGCACAGTGAATAGAAAAATGTTCACAAACTAACTCATCAACATTTTCCCTTGGAAGAGATTGTCTTGGATCTATCATTACAAATAAGCTAAGAAAGAGAGTGTCATTTTTCATACGCTTCTTTTTAAACAATAATATAGAACTGATAGAAGTACCTTGTACATTTATGTTTTCTAGAATAAAATTAGACTTGTACTTTTTGTTGAGAGCAATGCTATGTTCACAAATAATAAGTTTGTAAAGTTTGTGACCATTTTGTTCGTGAGCCAATCATTTTCCTTTTGTTGATAGAACAAACACTCCATGTCATGGAGGGAGGAGGCCTTCCCCATAATAATAATAATAATAATAATAATAATAATAATAATAATAATAATAATAATAATACTAATAATAATAATAATAATAATACTAATAATAGTAATGAAGTTGTATAAAATAAAACACATTGCTCCGTATTCATTACATATAATAGTGTTAATATAGCCTAGTTCCTTGCCACTTTGGTGCCACAGGCACTCCGATGCTTTGTTCGCAAAATTAATGAATTGTATCTCTAATTTTTGGGAAACCACGTCCTGGTCTGACCCAAATTTGCCACTTATTCCCATCAATTGGACTCCCAACTTTCGAGTTAAATTTTTTCCATCAATATCAACTAAATTTTGAGGGTCTAATTGACGGGAAGGGGAGGGAATAAGTTTGTACCGGTTCAAGATGAGGGTTTTTTTTCATGATGAAATTTGTTCCAGTCTAGGATGAGGGTTTTTTTCTCAATACCAACTAAATTTCGAGGGTCTAATCGATACTACCTTGTACAGAGTATGTTATTTTTTTTGATGATTTTCAATAACATAATTAAATAAAAAACTTAATCTAAATATTTTTTGACAATAATAAACTATATGTTTTAAAAACAAACTTTATTATGAAATTTTTGAAATATCACAAAAATAAAAAAAATAGCGACTTCATCAAAATCTCAAATTTCTGAATCAATCGAGGAGATGATCCGCAATTGATATTAATAATTTATACAATTTGATTTTTTGTAGTCAAAATTTACAAATCTTTACAACTAATTATATAAGTTTTGTATTAGAAATTGATATACAAGTGATTTTATTAGATTTTTTTACAAATTTTTTTATCTGATTAACTAAACAAATAATCAAATTGCGTATATATTGTACGTGTTGGGCCAAGTAACATCAGTACCCTTTGTAGTTTGAAAAATAAACACCAATACTCCTCATGTTTTCAAAACTTATTTGTAAAGCCTTTATGACTTCAAAATGTTGCACTCATAGTCTCTCTGAAAATTCTGTAGCTATTTTTTCTGACAAAAAAAGAGAGCACTAGTGCTTATTTATCAAACCATAGGGGTGGCGCTCATTTCTTATTTTTCGTCTAGTTTTTGTTTTTCAATTTTTTTCCTTTATTTGTTTCTTCTATTCGTAAAGGGTTTTTAAATTCCTTTTTTTTTTTGAAAAGAACTCTTCATTAACTCATTACGTCAAAGTACATGGAATCACAAATAGGATCTCCAGAGACAGACACTCACTCCAAACAATCAGATCAAATAAGCAACTTGATTAGCTGATTTTCTAACAATAGCCCATAAAAAGTGAAAAAAAGCAACTTTTAACAATAAATAATCAGAAATCTCACGTGCAAAATAGAAAAATTCTCCGCGTTTGCCTATAATGTTCGGAAAACCATATCACTCTTCAACTCCACTTTGATTGGCTGACAAGCATAGTTCCCTTTGAGCCACTTTGGGCCCTCTCGAACGCCCATTGCCTCGGCCATTAGTGAATTTTAAATTTCTTTTTAAAAATGTTTTTATAATGTTCTTAAAATAATTTTTGTTAGAAAAATAATAATTAACATATGTTGCTGATGGATATCGGGTCTGGTAGACCCGACTCCAGGCCCAAATGAAGGCCCATAATAGTCCAAAAGAAATATAATCAGGTGGAGATGACGGGCCAAGCCCGTTATCTCGCATACGGCAAGTAAAGGGAGACGGCCCAAACATGGGATAGGTCAGGGTGACCCAGACCGAAAGAGGAATGGGACACGTGGCCCATATCACCGAGTTGTGGGCGAAATGGGAAGAGAACGAGACCGGAAAGAAGGGGAATCACAACCCCACGATCTCCATAATCTATCTCCATTTTGTATAATTTTAGTTAGAATATTAGAGGTACTATAAAAGGGGAAGACCCCGCCGTTGTAAAGCAGGCCACAACAGGACAGTTCAATACTCAATCAAAGAATATTATCGAGTGATTGTATCTTCCTAATTCATATTTCGTTCTTGGTCCGCCATCTGATCGGGTTAATCCCATCATTGGTGCTTTCATTGAGAGAAAACTGAGAGATAAGGCTGTGAGATTATGGCCGGACGAAGGACGAGACGTAACCCCGCTACTTCTGCCCAGTCAACGGTGAGGAGTGACAACCCTGAATAGGGTATGATTGTCCCTGTCAATGGGTTGGAAACGGCGCTAAATAATGTGGCAAACATGATGGCCAACATTATGGAGCGATTGGATAAGGCTCTTCCAGGTCCATCCGGAACCCGGGATATCCCTGCCAGGCAACCCCGCCAGGTCCTGCGTACTGCGAGTTCTCCTATCCTACAGGAGCTCCATGATCCGGAGGAGGTTGAAAGGGAAAGGCGAGCCATTGACAGACGCCGGGCGAAGGAATTGGCCCGAAATAACAAGGTGAACGAAGGCCAGGCTAAGGATCCAAGTCGGATCTTCGGCGATGGACCCGAAAACCCGCGGGGATCTGTCTTTGAAAGGATATCTCGCCAGAAAGCTCACGTTAGTGAGAGGCTGGGGAAGAATCCGGAAAAGGCACCCCAGGGCTGGGTACGACCCCAGGCCAGCCAGGTGGCATCTTCCAATCGTGAACCCCGGCAGCGGAACGACCGTGGCGCGAGCCAAGTGCCGGTCCGGTCGTTACGGAACCTGGAGGAGGACGAAGTTCAAAGCCAAGCCAGGGTCCCAGCACCACGGCGTCTGGGACCGCTGGTACCGGAAGCTGGTGAATTTCAAAACCTGAGACAGCAGATCCAGGAGATCCAGAGGAAGATAAATAAGGGTCGAATATTCACTACCCGAACGAATACTCCCTTAGCTCCGGAGATTTTTGCGGAACCATATCCGCAGGGATTCAAAATGCCATTTGTCAAGCGTTATGACGGCGAATCAGACCCCCAAGAGCACATAAATAGCTATGTCCAAGTGATGATCGCCGTGGACGCCAGTGACGCACTCATGTGTCGGTGCTTCTTGCAGACCGTTGATAGCAAGGTTGCAGACTGGGTCAACCATATCCCTGCCGGATCAATCCGAACATGGGATGAATTGGGACTACGGTTCCTAGAGCATTTTGCCGGGAACTGCCGTCCCAAAAAGCATTTCACTCACTTGGCATCAGTGCGACAGAAGCATGATGAATCCTTGAAGAATTTCCTTATCCGATGGAGGAAAGAGTCCAGGGAGGTTGAAGGAACTGATGATAAATCCAGGTTGGCTATGTTCACGGCGGCATTACAGGATGGACTCCTTCACACCGATCTCACTACCCATCCCCCGGATACCTTCGAAGAAGCGATGGTCCGGGCAGGGAGGTACGTGACCCTGGAAGAAAGAAAGGAGGAGAAGAAGGAGAAGACCCCTAAAGAAGAAGAGAAGACGGGGAACAAGAAGCTGTTCAAGAATAAGAAGCAAGGCTTCCCGGACGGCCCAAAGGGTGCAAGTCCTGGGACCTCGGAGAAGCATAAATCTGCCAACCCGGTCTTCACATTGCCAGTGGCTGAGGTCATGGCCCATGCCGCACAGCAGGGACTTATGACTTACCCAACCTATTCTCAGAAGGTTTGCAATGTGGAAGACACTGGAAAATGGTGTGCCTACCATCGCAAGAATGATCACAACACGGAAGATTGCTACACTCTGAAGAATGAGATGGCAAGGCTGATCCGCCGGGGTCATCTGAAGAAATTTGTACAAGATGGTGACACCGGGAATCCCGGGAATGCTCAGAATGGGAAACGCAGGGATAAAGAAGTGGCCCAAGCTGAGGCCCAGGAGAAACGCCACATTGGGCTTGAAGACGAAGAGTAGGATTCGGAACCCGCACCGCATCGCTAGAAGAGACACCACGGGTGTAATTTTATCATTGGAGGGAATACTGGTGGGGATTCGGCCACTAGCCGGAAGAAGTGGGCTAACTCGGCAGTGGTCAACAAGGTGCTGGTCCCGGAAGGTAAGAAGTTGAAAACCGAGCCTATTGTATTTTGTAATGCTGATCTTCCAGAGACAGGGGTCCCTCATAGGGACGCCCTAGTAATTACTATTGATATAATGGACTTACTGATCCACAAAACCCTTGTGGATACGGGAAGCTCCGTTAATATTATGTATATGGATACGTACAAGGCTCTCGGTTTGACAAGAGATGAATTATCACCCATCAAGACTCCACTAACTGGGTTCACTGGTGACTCTATTGAGCCGGAGGGGGTAATAACCCTCCCGGTGGAGATAGGGGATACTAAGGCAACCCGGAAGCTGGACATGGAGTTTGTCGTGGTGGGGATAATTTCCAGCACGAACATTATCTTGGGCAGACCCGGATTGGAAGATTTGGAGTGCGTTATTTCACCTCGTCACCTGTGCATAAAATTCCCAACCCCCCATGGGGTTGGAATTGCCAGGGGATCTCAGAGAGTATCCCGGGCATGGTATTTGAAGGCAACCAAACAGCCGGTCAAGTACGATACCCAAGTAGGAGAAGTAACTGCGCAGCTCCTGAGGGCAGAGGAAAAACGTCCCAGAGTAGAAGTTGCCGGCAACATTGAAGAGGTGGAACTAGAGCCAGGCACGCCGGGAAGGTTTGTCAGGATTGGTAAGGGGCTGGGGGCTGAACTCAGGTCACGAGTGATTTCAGTCCTCAGGAGGTTCAGAAGGGTCTTTGCATGGAGTCTAGCTGATATGCCAGGGCTGGATCATAAGATTGCAGTTCATCGCCTAAATGTTCTGCCAGATGCTAAACCGGTGAAGCAGAAACGGAGACATTTGTCACAGGAAAGAAGAGATTTCGTGAAGAAAGAGGTGGCAACCCTGCAGAGCATTGGGCATATCCGGGAGGTACAATACCCGGATTGGTTGGCGAATGTAGTCCTAGCACCTAAACCACCTTCATGGAGGATGTGCGTCGACTACACAGATTTGAACAAGGCATGTCCCATGGATCCTTTTCCTCTCCCCAACATTGATCAGATGGTGGATGAAACTGCTGGGTCAGAGTTAATGAGCTTTATGGACGCTTTCAGTGGCTATCACCAGATTCGGATGCATCTGGCCGATGCTGAGAAGACAAGCTTTATGACCCCAGAAGGGCTGTATTGTGACCTAGTGATGGTTTTTGGACTGAGAAATTCCGGGGCAACATATACCCGGATGGTTTCTCAGGTGTTCAAGACTATCCTGGGGCGGACCATGGAGACGTATGTCGATGATATGATTGTCAAGTCCAAAGAGGCCCGAGACCATGTGCGGGACCTTGAGGAGGTCTTTGAAATCATGATGAAGGTGAATTTGAGATTGAACCCGAAGAAATGTACTTTTGGTAAGCCGGAAAGGAATTGAGGCAAATCCGGAGAAAGTTAGAGCCATCATGGAGATGGAACCCCCAAAAACAGCAAAGGAAGTGCGGCGGCTAACAGGAAGGTTGGCGGCCTTGAATCGTTTCCTTTCGAAGCTGGCAGAAAAGGCGCACCCGTTCTTTGCAGTGATCAAGAAGAAGGCGACCTTCGAATGGACACAGGAATGTCAAGAAGCATTTGAAGAATTGAAGAGATATCTCACAAGTCCGCCGGTTTTATCCAAGCCGGAACCTGGGGATATTCTGATTTTATATTTGGCGATTGCGGACTGTGCTATAAGTACTGTGATCGTGAGAGAAGAGTATGGGGCCCAACATCTGGTCTATTACGTCAGCAAGACCCTGAGAGACGCGGAGTTAAGGTATTCCCGTCCGGAGAAAGCTATGTTGGCGGTCTTCTGGACAGCGAAGAGATTAACCCCGTACTTTCAGGCTCACCGGATTATTGTGCTCACCAATGAGCCTTTGGCATCACTTACCCGAAGCACGGCGGCTTCTGCCCGGATGACCAAGTGGGCGGTCTTTATTAGTCAATACAACGTGGAATTCAGGCCGCGCCCATCCATCAAGGGGCAAGCACTCGCTGACTTTCAAGTCGAGTGCACCGCTAGGGAAGTGACAAGAGCCCAGGCTGAAACCCGGGTGGAAAAAGACTAGTGGATAATGAGCATCGATGGATCTTCTGGGTTTCGATCTTGCGGAGCAGGTATCGTCCTGATCACCCCAGAAAAATTCTGGATTTATTACGCCATCAGATTTCAGTTCCGTGTGTCCAACAATGAAGCTGAGTATGAGGCCCTGATCAATGGTTTGAAAGTTCTGCGTAAGATGGGAGTATCCAGGGTTCAGGTTTACACCGACTCCCGACTAGTTGTGGGACAAATCACGGGGGAATTTGAAGCAAAGGAAGAAAGGATGAAAAGGTACCGGGACTTGACCTTGGAGGTGTTGGGAAAATTTGAGTTTAAGCTTGAACATATTCCCCGAGCCCAGAATGCAGAGGCTGATGTTCTCTCCAAGCTCAGCGCAGAGTCACCGGAATACGTAAGCAAGTTAGCAACCATTGAAGAGCTGGTAACCCCTAGTCTTAACAGCAGTGAAGTGATCTGGGTATTGGCTGATCCCCCGGAATGGCTGGATCGGTTGGCCAAATATATTGAGGACGGTGAATCCCCAGAGGATCCCCAGGAAGCACGTCTATTACGAATGAGGGCACCAACCTACAAGGTACAGGACGGAGTCCTCTATAAGCGGTCCTACAACGGAGTTCTACTCCGCTGTCTTAGGGCAACAGAGGCGAAGGCATTGATGGAAGAAATACACGAAGGAGTATGTGCTGCACATCAGGGTCCTTATTCCATTTCCAGGAGGGCTATCATCCAGGGATATTTCTGGCCAACGATGAGGAAGGATTGCGAGGAATATGTACGCAAGTGCCCAACCTGCCAGCAATTCCAGAATATACCCGGGAGGCCAGCCACGAATTACATGCCCGTCAGCTCCGTGATTCCCTTTTCGAGATGGGGGATTGATCTTGTGGGAGCCCTGCCAAAAGGGGCAGGACAGGCGAGGTGGATTGTGGTGGCGATAGACTATTTCACAAAGTGGGTGGAAGCTGAGCCACTTGCAGGGATCACCGGAAGGCAGATGATCGACTTCGTCGGGACCAATATACTCTGCAGGTTTGGGGTCCCAAAGCAGATCATATCAGACAATGGAACCCAGTTTGAGGAAGCAGAATTTCAAAACTTTCTCAAAACTTGGGGGATTCAGCACACGAAGGTGTTTGTTGCGTACCCTCAGGCTAACGGACAAGTGGAGAACGTCAACAGAACGATCATAGACGGAATAAAGAAGAAGCTACTTTCAGAAGGAAGCAAATGGGTAGATGAATTACCCAGAATCCTGTGGACATACAGGACGACTCCGAGGAGAGCTACGGGTGACACTCCTTTTGGCTTGGCTTATGGTTTTGAAGCCCGGGCTCCCGCTGAAGTAGTAATCCCCACTAGGAGGGAAATGGAATATGACCCGGAGGTGAACGAGCAGAATCAGGCCGTAGAAATGAATTTCGTAGAAGAACGAAGGGATGAAGCGCGTATCCGGGCAGAGAATTATCGTCGCCAGGTGAAATCTTACTTTGATAGCAAGGTGAAACCAAGGGCATTTCAGGTGGGGGATTATGTTCTGAGGAAACGAGAGAAAAGTCAACCAACTAAAGGTGGGAAGCTGGCTACGAAATATGAAGGACCTTATATCATCAAGGCTGTTGTTCGTCCAGGTACTTACAAGTTGGTGACTCCCAAGGGGAAATAAATTGATAGGACATGGAATGTAGAGCACTTGGTCAAATTTTATCAGTGAATCATTTTGTAAAAATGCTCTATTTTTAATTTAAAATGTTCATTTCAATCAAATTCTTCTATAGCCAAGTGCGTTTGCAATTTCATTGTTCTATAGGTTTCTTAAAAAAAGGGGGGGGGGGGGGGGGNATAGGGGAGGTAGATAAGTTTATGCCCCCCCCCCCCGGGCTATATAGACCCGGGCTATATAGACCCGCTTTACAGGGAGGTAGAAAAGTTTATGCCACCTGCTAAAAATAGGGGAGGTAGATAAGTTTATGCCCCCCGGAGGTAGAGAAGTTTATGCCTCCGTCAAAAATGAAGGAAGGGTTGGGATTGGACTTCGAGGGCCACTACAACCCGGAATTCAGGAAGAATAGCAAGCAGACTTTGAGGGCTGAAGCTTAGTATTCCACTAGCATGGATCAACTGGGCAAACAAACTTCGAGGATTGGAGTTCGACCGATCTAAGGTAGATAAGATGATGCCTTAACCCGGAGGAAGGAGAAGTCTGGGGCAGATGTAATAAGTGCCCCGGGCATGCCCAAACCCCGGGAAGATGAGATTTAATATGGGAAATGAATTATGTACTTGCATTTAAAGAGGTGCAAAGAAATGATCATTAAGGACCATATTGGTGGGCCAAAGTTTACATTTCTTGGTTCACAATAAAGGTTCCTCGTGAAATAAACAAGAAAAGAAACTAAGGGAGTTATCGATTGCTAATTCGGAGGGTATATCTTTGAATTACAATGATGATTCCTACTTCAAAATTAAGGAACATTCCTTAGCTTGGGATGAGGGGAAAACCTCTGGACCGAGCAAGTGGATGCCCCTTGATACAAAACAAGGAAAAGGAATTTGATTTGCAGGAGGCTAGGAACTGAAGGAGGGCCTATTGCATCCATGCAGTCAACAAGAAGGAGGTGACGGACCCTTCAATGGGCTCTTTCTCTTTGACAAGGGACACGTTGATGAAACAGCGGTTTCCCATAGGTCATAATCTTCCCAGGTCCCAGGACGAGGGGCTGCTCTCTTCAATGGAAAACCATTGTTGGGGGGCTTCAGCAGGTTTGGAGAAGCAGCCCGGCTTTCACATGAAGGTTCCGCTTCAACAGTTAGCAAAGAACGTCCAAGCTTAGCCCTGCACATCCTCTAGTACAGGGCGAACTCCTGGAGAGTCATGGAGTCCCAGTCTATCTCCCCGGAGGGAAGCCTGGGTGGACTGGGAGGAGATGGCGTAGGAAGGCGGGGCGCCGGATAAAGCCTCGAGAACTCGCCGAGACTCAACCCGGCCATGTCGTTGGATTGGGCTGGGGAGGTGGAGAAGTCATCATTTGAAGAAGAAGATGTCCCGGAGTGGGTTAGGTCGATGATGACCTTTCCTTCAGACTTGCTTGCCATGGCGAGGAAGTTAGAGAGTGATGGACGGGCCGCTAATTGCCCTTTCCCATTTTATAGCCAGAAGGGAAGGAATAGTTGGGAATTGATGAGTGCAATTAAAAGGCATGAAAGATTAAGCGATTGGTGGAAGAAGCGGTCGAAGCTTTCCCAAAGTTTGACTAAGAGTTTCTCGCCACTAGGGTGCATGGGCTAGTCAATTGGGCCCATTTGCGCTTTGGAAAAGACGTCAACCTTGGAAGGTAAGGAGTTAAATGGACTTAGACTTCTACTCCATGCGGGTGACGGCGCGTGCAACAAAATCGTATTAAACGACAGGAGATGAAGGTTTTTCCATTAAATAGCTCAAACAGAAAATTACATTCTTTTGGGGTACAATAATGGGCCTTATCCCTGATCAAACAACGAAACAAAAAAAAAGAGACGGGAGATAAAGATTTTCATTAAATAACTCAAACAGAAGACAACATTCTTTTGGGTTACAATAATGAACTTTGTCCCTGATCTACTTCTATCCTACCGCAAAAAAAAAAAAAATAATTAAAGGCTAGGCGGATCGACACTTCTGGAATCTAAAGGAGTGTATTCGCTAACCCTTGTTTCCTTGCCTGAACTGGAAAAGGACCCCAGAGCTGGGGGGCATGGAGAGTGTCCGTCGAAGACACTTCATGACATTCACGGGAACTAGAATGGTACCAACGGGTGGGGATCTAAAGCCAGCCCCGCGGATACCATCCAGGCGATCCCATGAAGGTGCCCACCGGTCTCCCTTCATGACATTCAAAAGATACGAAACGGAACCAACGGGTTGGGATTGAAAGGCATCCCCTCCGTTGGCACCATCCGGTCGTCCCTTTGAAGTCAGACCAGGAGGACAATAGGGCATGAGGGAAGGACTTAAGGCATGTCTCCGCTATACGGCAGGAGGAGGTGGATCCCGGAAGGTTCCGTCCTTTTCCCTGCGTATAAATGGAAGCCTATTTCCCCCCATGTCATAGTCCCCCATTCCTCAGGTGGCTGTCCATACAACTACTGAGGGGAAGGGGAACTCTGAGAAGAAGGCCTCGCACTAGAGACCAGCCGGGAAGCTCCTGAGTGGGGATTACGTCTCTTCTGCGGACGAGAAGTGCCTGGGCAACAATGAGAGACTTCCGCCCTGGCACTGTTAGGAAGTACGCCGGGACCCGAGGGTACACTCCCCGAGGCTTGTGAGGGGAGATGGGGGTTATTCTCTTCTCTGGGTAAGGGAGAAGTTACCGATTGTTCAGAGGCAAGGGAAGGCCCAGAAGAGAGCTCGGGTGTTGGGGACCCAAATGAAGGGAATGCCAACGAAGAAGAGTCAGAAGAAGAAGAATCAGAGATGGTAAGGTCAATGAAGATAGCTCTATTGGCGTTATTAGCCATGTTGAGAATTTGATTGTGGTGAGGGAGAAGCTCAGCCTAATCCCTTAAATAGACGAGTCCAGAAGGGGTATTTATCCGTTGAAAGGTGGACCCGAGGTACTCGAGTGCGACGTTTCTAATCCGACACGAAGATCGAAGACGGCTCATCATTAGTTTTCTAGCGACACGTCGCCAGAAAACTAGGGGGCTTGTGATGGATATCGGGTCTGGTAGACCCGACTCCAGGCCCAAATGAAGGCCCATAATAGTCCAAAAGGAATATAATCAGGTGGAGATGACGGGCCAAGCCCGTTATCTCGCATACGGCAAGTAAAGGGAGACGGCCCAAACATGGGATAGGTCAGGGTGACCCAGACCGAAAGAGGAATGGGACACGTGGCCCATATCACCGAGTTGTGGGCGAAATGGGAAGAGAACGAGACCGGAAAGAAGGGGAATCACAACCCCACGATCTCCATAATCTATCTCCATTTTGTATAATTTTAGTTAGAATATTAGAGGTACTATAAAAGGGGAAGACCCCGCCGTTGTAAAGCAGGCCACAACAGGACAGTTCAATACTCAATCAAAGAATATTATCGAGTGATTGTATCTTCCTAATTCATATTTTGTTCTTGGTCCGCCATCTGATCGGGTTAATCCCATCAATTGCATCTGTATGTCTTAAATTAACAACTTTTATATTTTGTTTTCCAAAATAAAAAGTAAATACTTTTTTGAAAACTTCAAAAAATGAGGAATGAAATGAGAAATAAATTAAAAAAATAAAAATGAATATCCTTTTTGGACATATCAATTCTAAGAACTTTTTTAAGTGTTCTAAAAATTCCTTTCTGTATAACAATTTTTTTTAATGTATCTATGTTTTTCATTTCATTTTTTCATATTTTTAATTTTTTATTTTATAATAATAATAATAATAATAACCTTTCTAAGATAAAACAGATTATTTGTTAATTATAATAGTATTAATATATACGTTATATGTCTTCCAATTTTTGCCCACTTTGAAATTGGCACACTAACCAAGACGAGCTGATGAACAAAATGACTCATTTACCCCTCGTACAAAAACAAAATCATTGCCATCCCTCTCTCCCTTACAAGTAAAGAGTTGAAAATGATGTCAGATCTAGGATCATCCCATTTCAAACTGGTTAGATCTAGAATAATGCAATTTATCTTCCTTTTTGCCATCACCACGTGAGAATCTCATTACCAGCATGGCGACGTGGCACCGTTGGCGGCCTTGATGAGAATCTATGATGGTTCTACTGGAAGGGCATATATAATTCAAAGGGAAAAGGACCAAAGTAAGAGTAAAACATACACCATCTCCTCAATTTTTAACATTATTGTTGTGTTTAAGTTATCACAAGAATAATATAATGTCAAAGAGAAAAGCAAACTGCCAAATATAGCAACAAGCTCGCCTCCTTCATTGCACCGTGCAATCACCCAACAATCCAGCATAAAAGTGTGCAATGGCCACAACCGCTGCCGACCCACCGTCACTGCCACCATGAACCGCCCCACCCGCCCGCTGCCATCGTGCAATCTATTATCGTCAGTGATTTCCCACGTCACCAAGTGCGCCCCGTCGCTGCTAACACCACTCGCATTTGCCCTTGACCTACTGTTGTGTCCTTACCGTGCAATCGAATGTTGCCGATGATTTCCCACATCACCAAGCTCTCCTCTTTCACCGCCAACTCCACCGGGATCTGCCATCATCGCCGTAGTATTATTGTCTTACAATGACTGTCAGGGAAAAATACTTTTTATACAATGCAACAATAATACAATGCCAAAGATTACAATCTATAATGCCAAACATAGCCTCTAACAAGTACAAATATGCCACTGTATTATGTCAAAGAGAAAAACAAAATGCCAAATATGACACTAACTAACAACAAATATGTCAGTGTATCATTCATAAGTGATTGGGGGTTATGCTCTTTTCAATGAACATCGATCCATAGTATATTTTTTTGAAGAGACAATAAAAAATGGTAGATCGATGCGTATTTATATCATAAACTGATGAAATCAAAATTTTATATCCATACCCATTTATATCGTACCCATTTTATGGACAGAAGAAGTGAGGCAAAAACATCACCAAGGAGCTCTTTGTTGAAGTAAAGGAGGTGGCCGGGCGGCGGTGATCGCGATAAGGGGCTGCGGTGACGGTGGGAGTCGAAGGAAGAATGGCAGAGAAGGATCGAAAGTGAACAGGAGAAGGGAGCAGATCTAAGGATCGGATAAGGAGTGGGGAGTTCAATTAATTACTCCTATTTTGGGTATATAAGTTATGAACTCCTATTTTAGGTATATGGTTAATGATTTACTCCTATTTAGGGGGTTTTCTTTAATTCAAAAAGGAGGGGAGAGGGGAGAACTGGTGTTGCAGAGAAGATGAGAATCGAAGACTGAGGGAGGGGAGAGGATAAGGCAACGTAGATTGAGAGTGATATCTTGGAGGGTATAATAGACGTTACTTCTAATATATGTTTCGGTGTAAGGAATGTGGACAAGTACTGGGTGGTACCTAGGTTCAATGGGACAACCTACCTGTGGGACGAAGCATGTTTACTATTGGGGTGAGGCGGATCACCGACTTAACACCCCGATTCCTATACAGTTATAGTGACTCCCAAAAACAATGAGGTTAGCATGATGCTTTAATGATTCTTGAACTATGGACAACGGGGTCCAAGTGGAGTAATTGAGATAGTGAAATTTGCACTGAATAGGACTAAAACATAAGTCATTTCCCAATGTAGGACTTAAACTTTTTTATTCCCTAAATAAGACTTAATAATGACTAGTGAGAAGAATAATGTTCAAGTGATGCTGGACATTTAGTTGAATAATGATTACTAGATAATGACTAATGGTCCTACATTGGAAAATAAAAATATATGGTCCTATATTGAGAAAATCATTATGTTTTACTCCTATTTAGGTAAATTACCCATTGAGATACTCTTAGAAGAATCATCTATGTAAGAGTGAAGTATGGTCGCTTCAACAGAAGGATTTCAGGTTGATCCTGTCTGACACTCTCGCAGAACCAGATGCGTGTTTCACGACCATAACGGACACACCCATGAGAACGAAACGATGGTTAGTTGAGAACCTGTGTACGATATATCATCGTTTACACAAATGGCAGTACAGTTCAAAGACATCACGTTCTACTGAACAACCTGTTAAGAAGGTATATCATAAAAGGAGTGGGTTCAAAGGCGTAACAACCTACCTACTCTTGCAGGTCTTCAACAACAGAGTTATTGCCAGTCACATGAATTAATTTTCATTCATGTGGGGGATTGTTGAATTTTTAGTTTAAACTGGACATTTTTCGGACATAAATTCGGTAGGATCCACAAAATTATTTTCCAAAATAATTATGGACGATTAATCTCGTAAGTGAGATGAGTGTTTCGACATATTATACGCCAAAAATGGTGTTCGGGTGAATGAGAAATTAATTCACGAAGTCAAACACACGGAAAGAGTAAAATCCTTGTCCCACACTAGAACTTGAACCTTTCATATTCTCATATTTGAACTTAGGCATTCAATTGAATTTATGAAGGGAACAAGAAAGGACCCCTCGCGCGCCGCCGCCGTGCGGCCGACTCGGCTCTGCACGAAACGACACACGCGCATCGGGGCGAGGCGAGGCGCCCGCGCCCGTGCTT